TGTCCACATCCTTGCTAGCATTTGTTATTCTGTCTTTTTGATAATAGCCAGCCTAGCTGGAGTGAGATAATCTCTCAATGTGGCTTTAATTTGCATTTCCCTGATGCTTAGTGATGTTGAGCATTTATTCATGTACCTGTTGGCCATTTGTATGTCTTCCTTTGAAAAATGTCTATTCAGTTCCTTTGCCCATTTTTTAATTGAATTTTTTTTTTAATGTGAAGTTGTTTGAGTTCCTTGTATATTATGGATATTAACTCTTGTCAGATGTATGGTTTGCAAGTATTTTCTCCCATTCAGTAGGTTGTCTTTTCACTGTTGTTTCCTTTGCTGTGCAAAAGCTTTTTAGTTTGATATAATCCCATTTGTTTATTTCTGTTTTGTTGCTGGTGCTTTTGGGGTCTTATTCATAGTCTTTGCTCAGTCCTATGTCTTGAAGTGTTTCTCCTATGTTTTCTTCTAGTTTTATAGTTTCAGGTCTTATACTTAAGTCTTTAATCCATTTTGAGTTGATTTTGGTATATGGCGAAAGGTACGGGTCTAGTTTCATTCTTCTACACATAGATATCCAGCTTTCCCAGCACCATTTACTGAAGAGGCTGTCTTCCCCGCAATGTATGTTCTTGGCACTTTCGTCAAAGATCAGTTGGCTGTAAATACCTGGGTTGATTTCTGGGTTCTCTGTATCTGATTCCCCAGTCTTAAGAACAGGAATTAAAGTCTCTTCCTACTTGTCTCTGAAACAATCTTTCTCTGTATGGGAGAAAAGATAGAGGCAACCAAAAGAGGGAAAGAAGAACAGAAAAAGACGAGTCTCCAAGATGCCTGATTGAAGCATGGAGACCCTGTCCTAACTGGATACTGGAGGGTAGCTCAGTGGGAAAAGCATAGAGGTATTTGGCATTATCCAGAGGTCCTTGCATGTATTTGCAGCCTAGCTAATAGACGTGAGCATACACGTGATAAATCCTTATTACTACCAACATTTGTAAAGCACCTACTATGTACCTAGTGCTTTATACATACTAACAAAACAAGGGCTGTTCTTTTCTTCCTTTGGGAGGTGAATGATCTGCGGCTTACACCTTATATAACTTGCCAATGCTAACATAACGACTTATTTGTAACTAGTAAAAGGTAGAGCTAGGATCTGAATTGCAGCCATTTGAATCCATTCAGGTTCTTTTCACTAACCATGCTGTCTCAGTTTACTGTACATGACATAGTGTCAAGAGAGAGATATAAAAGGATAATGGGGTTTAAGCCAAAACTTTAATGTATCTACTTTTGATATTAATGCAATCATAAAAGAGCAAACAGTTTATGAAATTATTCTCAAAACTTTAATTAAAATCCATAGAGCATTTAACATGTATAGATGTTTAAACTTTTTCAGTGACTCTTACATTTTAAAATCCTTTTGCACAGCATTTTGAGGCTAACTTCATGCTAGAAATCTACAAATGTACAACTTAACACAAAAATACATTCAGAGTCCATTCCAATGCAAGTTTAAAACACTTTAATTGGCAATGTAAAGATTTTACAGACAATGTAAAGATATTTTAAAAATAAAAACTACAAAATGAGGACACAAAAGTTTTCCCTTTTGAATTTTTAATAAAATACTGTACTGTATAAGATCTAATGAAAAATTCCAGTTACTTATAAAATAGCTGTGAGAAAAGAAATGAATTAAGATACATGTGTATATGTATGAATTATACTGTTTAAATGAACAAAATGTTGAACACTTTGATGACACAGCATACCATCTATTACTTATATATCAAAATAGATAAAAACACTCAAGGATGCAATTGGGTACAGGCAAAAGAAAAAAAAAAAGTTCAAAAGCCAAAAAACTAAACCAAACAAAAACAACCTTTAACTGTAAGGGAAAAAAAGGAATAACGGTACTTAAAGCAAACTGTGAAC